ACCCGACTCACCACCACAGGAGATAAACAGGAGTGCTAAAAACGTGTGCCTGAGCCCCATCCCAGCTGCAAAATCACCCAGGCTTCTTCGGAAACCACACTGGTCCTGGTAGCACGTGTGCATACACCAAATTAGCCACATGCTCTCACAGACTTCTGCTGAGCTGAGACTGTTGCTATTTGCTGTTCAGCCCTGAGCTGGTGGCTGCAGGGCCCCTAGATGATGGCATCTGCCCTGGACGATGGGCAGACACCAGCCCCTTGGAGGGCCTGGAGTTGTCTGCTTTGGCTTCAGGGGGGACACAAAACAAGTACATTTCTACCGAAGACACCAGGGTGGTGGGGCGGCTCTGGACCTGCTGGCACATATACCATCATCCCAAGGCTCTGCCTGGGAGCTGGGACCAGCACACCACTCTGGTGGGCACAGAAAGCTGCTCATGATTACATGAGGCTGCAGAGGCAGCTCCTCAGGAAATGCAGCCACTCAGGCATAAGAAAGCAGGTCCTGCTATCTACAAATAATGGGCTGAAAAACAGGAAATGGAGATCAGGAGAAGACAGCCAGTTCTCATATGGCAATGTGATAGCAGTGACCTTCCATGGGGTCTGGGTCTGTGCAGTGACCTTGGCTGCTCAGTCCTTCATAGAAGGCCAGGAAGAGGGGTGAGGAGGGAGGGGAGAGAGTTGGCCACTGATAAGGAGCTGTCTGAGGACAAGGACAGCCTGTCAGAACTGCAGACAGTGAGGGCTCAAAGGGCAGATAAAATTCAACACATGCAAATGCAAAACTAGATATTTTGAGGGGGAAAAAGGAGTCCTGGACTCACATGAGCTCTGCACAGACCACTGCTGGTTCAGAGCCGGGTCCTGTGTTTAGTGTCCACCAAAGCACGAGCTCAGGTCTCAGCAGCAGTCAAGAAAGCAGGTCAAGCACTAGGAACCTGCAGGAAGTGGACAAAGATCTCAGAGCCTGGCAGAGGAAGTATTACAAACCCTGTTCTCCCTCCTTCCAAAACATCTGGCCACATCTGGAGATGGATGCTGGGCTGGATACCAAGCCAGCCGAACCCACACAGCCTGGATTTCTCCATCAGCCACGCTGTCACCTCAGTGTGCATCCAGGGTAGGATCCCTCTGCACCACACAGTGCACCACACAGTGCACCACAAAGGACACAGCCTTTCTCTCTCCATGCCCAGTAAAATGAGAAAGCGTGCAAATAATACGAAAAGGAGGCCCCTACACTTTTCTACAAAGATAGCTCTGTCCCAATCAATAACTGATTTTTTTTTTTTCCTAGCCCTTAACAATGGGATATGAAATGTCAATACCCAAAGCAAACACCAGAATACCAGCCTTGGGAAGGTCCATCACCTTCCTTGTTTGCCAGCCAAAAAGTTGCCCTGAAAAGCATGTAGCAATAGGTTTATTGCTTTTTGGTTGTCAATAACAATCTACATTAGTTACAGTAGAAGTCACCTGGACATGGAGCTGTGCCATGGGGCACCCTCCCTCTCCTGCCAACTTTAGTCATACTTTCACAATACAGATCTTGTTGCAGGGCTACTGCAAGCAGCTGGACACTTTGCCATGTGTTCCCTTGCTACAGCTTGAAATAATTCCTGGGGACGTGTTATATCCTGAAAGCTGAGACAGCCCCAGACCAGAGCAGCCAGTGAGCCGGCTGCACTCTTATTTCAGGAACCAGTTTATGTGTCACAAGCAGGCAATTTACACCAAAACACTCAAGACTGTGCTCACACAGGCTTGAAAGAAGTCGTGTTTGTCACAAGAGGAGAGGGGTTTTTGCTTTCATCTGAGATGGTAACCTTGCTTCTTCTCCCAAAATCAGACAGTGACACCTCAGGGTTTGGTAGCACATTGTGCCAAGATGTCAGCAGACTCCACTGCCCAGGGACAGTAAGGAATGGGGCAGCTGGGAGAGCTGGGGAGCAACAAGGAGGGTGCAGGGAAGAGTTATGGAGCCATAGTGGGACAAGCATTGGGGACCACAGGGGACGTGCAGAGGGTTTGGTGGGATGTGTGCAGGGTGTGGGAAGCACACGTGGCACACAGAGACACTCAAGAAGGTGCAAAGGGACAAGTGGCATGCAGGGGAAGTGCATGTGAGGGAGACCCATGGGCGTGTGGTGGGGCACATGGGAGCATGGCAGGACGTGTAGGAAAACATGGAAGGACAGGTGTGGAAGGACAGCAGGACACATGTGGAGAAGAAGTGAGAGATGGGGGCACATGGGAGAGCGTGTGGAAACATGGGGGAGATGTAGGGGTTTGGGGACTGGGCATGGAGTGACACAGGTGCCAGGAGGATTGGGGGGTCACAGAGTGGGGACACACTGGGGATCAAGGGGACCCACAAGGCTTCTCTAGACAAGTGTCCTCACCTCCCATGGGTGGTGGCCCCCCATGTGTCCCAGTAGGCAAGGGCACTTGGGGGGATGTGCATAATTTTAGGGCCAGAGGAACAAGCACCAGCAGCCCCTTCTGCACCAGCCCTCCATAGAAAAGGTGTGTGTGATAGAATTATACCCAAAAAACATAGATAACACATATATATGTAATTATCGGTGTATAGGTACTTACAATTAATTAATATATACATGAAATTAGAAAGCAATGATGTCCAGACAAGGGATCTGGAAGGCAAGCGTGAAGCACGGTGGACCTCCACCCACCAGAGAGGAAAGATAGCCCAGCCTGGTGAGGCAATGCTGAAGTGGTGTGGCGAGTGGTGGGGGCATTAGGGGGGCTCTCAAAGGGTCACTCAAGTATGCTCCCCTGCAGCTTGGAGAAGGCAGAGCTTCTTTTTCCCAGACATCCTCATGGAAAGGGAGGAAAACCTCCTGCCTGTTCATTGCAAAGTGTATCTCTGACCCAGTGAAACCAGTAGAGGAAGTGCCAAACCACACCCTGCAAAAAAAACAAACCCGTGTGAATGTGCACATCTGTATCTACACACAGAGGCTCAGGGGAGCGGAGGCTTTGTGGCTGAAGGGATCCAAAATCTCCCCTGTGGCCACAGTGGTTGTGCCCAGGCTCAGGCTCTGACCCAGTTCCACGGGCTGAGAGCCCACCCAGCCACAAGGGCCCACTAGCACTTGGGCTGCTGAAGTTTTTGGCAATAGCCAAAAGCTGGCTTGTGAAGGAGGGCTTTTAATTCCAGCCTGGTGGGCCTTGACTCAAAACTCATTTACAGTTCTTCCTTGGTCTAAATCCACCAAGAAAATGAGATAGGTGGAAAGCGCACGGATGTACTCCTTTCCCTTCCCTCCATCCCGGAAGTGGAAATGAGGAAATAAGATTTTCTGGTGTCCCAAGGGGGTGGAGAGAGACCCACAGCAGAATTTTTGTGTGGCCAGGCAGAATGACCCACTACACCATGGTAAGTGGGACTTTTCTTCAGATGAATTTGGCCACAATCCAGCTTTACTGTTGAATCATCCTCACATCTCTGAAGACAAACTTTAAAATCAATATATTACAGCTCTTGGCATTTTCCAGTCCATAGGAAAAACTGGTTGATTTGCTTTTCTTACAAAAAAAAAAAGGGCAACTCAAAATCAGCTATTATAAGCTAGTTAAACCCACAGCATTCCTACAGCCTGGTACCTTTCTGATAACACAACGTGAGGGTTTGGGTGGATTTGTTTTTCTCATGTTTACTTTAAATCAAGTCAGTCTGTTTTTCGCTTCTGCTGCTTGTTGATGTGTGAGGCACCATTTTTGCTCAAAGTGCCCATGACTAACAGCAGGAGCTACCACAGCATAAACAGCCTGGGATTCTCCATTGCTGCCCACAGCCCCACGGCAGCTCCAGGTCTCACCCCCTGGCGTTAAGGTGATGTTCCTGCTGAGTTGCCCTGTGCTGGTTAGTGGGACTTCGCACTCCCTGCACCAAAATTGTGTTTGAAGCTCAGTTTCCATGCTTGGCATCAAGCAGAGGTATTGTCCTCGGTGGGACAACGTGGGTGACACCCCTCAGGCTGATTGCCCTGAACCTCCTTCCCTGCTCAGCCGCAGCCCTGGGGACGGGGTGGCTTTGGCAGCTGCCCCAGGACCTGCCTCCACGGCGTGGGTACCTGGGCAGGGGGAGAGGAAACAGAGGCTCCTGGAAGGCACTGAGGAAGCTGCAATTAAAAGTGGCAAGGAAAAGGAAGAAGAAAGAAGAAAGGGACGCCAAAGTAGAAATTCAGATAGTTTCTGGAGCTGGAGGAAGGAGTCTGTCTGTTAGTCAGCCTTTACTCTGCCGCTGTTAAGCTCTACCCACTGAACGACTCCAATTAGTAATTATCAGTATATGCCAGCTGTTATTTCAGTCCTGGCAACATCTGCATTTAGAGAACATCTGTTTTTTTCTGTGAAGCTGCAAGTGCTGTAGTTAACACATTGGTATTTAATATTTTGGGTTTTGTTTTTTTTTGTTTTTCTTTTTTAAATCTTCAACCTGTTCTGCAGTGCCATGCTAGCAATACACTTGAAAATAAAACTCAGCAGTTCAAAATTACTATAAATTAATGAACTTCTCCTTTCCACGTTTGTCTCCAGCCTCAGAGCCCTGTCTCAATGTACTCACTCAAAATAAACCAAATAGAAGTTGCAACATTTTAGCACATTTCACATAAGGCTATTCCTGGCACATGCTGAAAAGCATCTATTTTAATGGGGCTTGAGGGGGGTGGGCAAACCATTTAGCCGGTTGATGGGAGGAGGTGCCTGTATCAATAGCAACTGAAGCATCTCTACAAGAGGAAAAGAAAAGAAGAAACCTCTGGAGGGAGAGATGCTATTCAGTTGTTGAGGCTTTCAGATCTCAGGGCATCTCCTATTTTATTTATAGCTCCTCTGTGACTAAATATTATTTTTCAATTACTATATTGTGGGTTTTTTTCAGTTGGGCTTCTTATCCTTTCTTTGAAGCAACGTGACCACATAGTAAACTGTTTTTGAGGAGTGTTTGCTGTTTGAGGTTACAAGATGAAACCACAGAGTTCCTTATCTTGTCTCTCTGCATCTGTTTTTACATGAGCTAGCAGAGCAAAAGAGCAAAGCAGTAACAACCGAAAACTCCTTTTTCCCCTCTCCCCACCCATATTTTTGAAGCCACGGGAGAAGTCCCCAGTAGGATCCAGCTGCCGGCTCTCGTTGGGTTTTTTTGTCTGCAGACCAGGTAGGAACATGCTTCTGAAGGGTGGGAACCGAGGGAAAGCAGGAAGGTGGAAAGCAGTCACCAGCCTGGCATGGTTCCCCCTGAAACTTGTGTTTGTGCCTTAGGAAACAGCTCTGGAAATAGCAATAAAGTTTGTTTTGCTGCCTTTCCTCCCCAAACTTTCGGCCTTCACTATTTAATGGCTGCTAAGTCTTGACAGAGAACATGTCTGGACATGGAAGCTGGTGGGAGTTTTGCTCGGTACGTGGGGTCCTGGGCAGCGGTGCAGGGGTTGGGCGGGCTGTCCTCCCAAAGGCTGTTATCCAGTGTTGGGAGGGCAGTGACTGTCACTGCTGCCATCTGCAATAGCTTTAATCACTCTCAAGGGAAGACTTTTGGGTGAGCCCCGGTGACAAAATCTGCTCCTGTATTTATAGTTTTAGGTTACAAGCTCATTAGAGACATCTAATAGGGATAACTGGGCCACCTTTTCTGACAGGGATGTGGGGTTTGGGGGGCTGGAGCATCTGGTCCCTGAGCTGTGCTGTGCTCTGCTGGTACCTGGAGGCCTTTCTGACCCACTCAAGCTTCCACAAACTTTGAATTGCTTTCAAAGGCATGTTTTACACGTTCCAGTGATCACACTGGATGTATCCCATCATGATGTTTCTATACAGGTGTGCTGGTACAAATCACTGTGTAAGGCTTTCCCCTTGCAAGGGTTCAGCAAAGTCTGGCCAAGCTGAGATTGGTGCTTAGTCCTGAGCTTTAAGAACAGCCATACTTGGACTGCTGGGGCTTTTTGATCCTGTGACATTTAACTAAGAGGGAAATTATTTTAAAAACCCATTATAAAAACAGCTTCTTATACATGTGTCTTAAGTTATCATTATCTCCAAATTATTGCTCCATGTCACAACGAGGTGCCCAGCCTCAGAGCCGAAGGAACCTTCAAGGATCCTCGGGCAGACAGCACAAAGTGGCCTCCTGTGCTCTCTGTCTGCATGTTCATCACACTGAACCAGCCCTGTAGGAAATCAAAGTCTGCCCCAGAGCACCTGAAGCCCTGGGATGCCGAGGAGGAGGAGGAGGAAGCAGTGGGGGAAGCAGTGAGCACAGGAGCTCAAGCGTGTTCTGACCAAGACCAAGTCAACAGCACACATCTGACTAGGCAGCCTCTTCTCCTAAACTCATGGCTGGATTTGGGAGACAACACAATTTTTATAGCACTAAATGACCTCCTCAATCAACAGATTGATTTCTAAGCAAAAAACATTTGCAGTATCGAACTCTGAGGGATGCTCATTATTTGCGCACAGCCTCCAGCAAATCACACAGAAATTTTGTTTGAAAAACAGAATTAGTGTCATTATCTAAAGACCCATCTTGAAAACACAGCACTGATAATGACATAGGTTTAGTGCTGACTCTCAGAAATTTCAACTTTCTTCTTGAATAAGATGGCTGGGGGAGCTGGGTTTAGACAAACATTTCCTGCTGGCAGAAGCCATTTCTGAATCACTTGTCAAACTCAATGTAAGTCCAGGAAGCTTCACCACAGTGGGTGACTTCTCAATGCTCAGCCCCTATCTCAAAGTCTAACCTGAGCCCTGCTCCTCCATCAGCTTCAAGCCATTGCTCCTAACCGGCCACCTTCAAGAGCAGAGCAACAGCTTGCTTTTGTTTCTGTTGGTATATGTCACTGAAAGTGATTTCCCATCCTCTTCCTGCTCACTTCTTCCCAGGGAGGACCTTAAGTGACCCCAGAGGTTTTATGCACAGGCCTGTGTCCTTTATGTATTAGAGGTGGTTCTTACAGGCCTTTTCTAAGTACCAGAGGTGAAAAACACACATTGCATCTGAGATTGGCTGTTTTACCTACAAACCCTTTTTCATAGAATGATAGCATGGTTTGGGTTGGAAGGGGCTTTTAAAGATCACTTCATTCCAACCTCCCTGCCATGGGCAGGGACACTTTCACTAGATCAGGTTTCTCAGGGCCTGTCCAACCTGGCCTTGAACACTTCCAGGGACAGAGCATCCACAGCTTCTCTGGGGAGCCTGTGCCAGTGCCTCACCACCCTCACAGGAAATAATTTCTTCCTAATACCTAAAATAAACCCACTCTCAGTTTAAAGCCTTTGCCCCTCATCCTATCACTACATATCCATATAAAAAATTCCTCTCCAGCTTTCTTGTAGCTTTCTTTCCCAGCCATCATTTCCCTTCCCAGTGCTTTTTTCCACACCATTTCACCCAACATCCTCTTTGCTGGTAACCCCATCCCATCCCCCTGGGTTCACAGCCCCAGGATCCCATCCGACAGGGGCCTGTTACACCCAGTCCCAAAAGGTGAGGGGAAACCAGGATCTTGTTTACAGATCCCTTGGGGCAGATTAGTGAAAGGACATTGGATGATCACTGTTTATAAATATATATATATATATATATATATACACACACCTAGGGTTTATTTTGGAACAGTTTGGTTGCAATGGAAAGCAGGTATGTGGCCGTTTTGGTTTCTGTTGTTATCTACAGTAATATGGCAATATGAAAGCATAAAAATATCACTCACTCAGGAAAATGTGTAAGGGAAAAGAAAGAAAGAGGAAGAAAAAGTAAGAGTAGAAACGCATCACCACCCATGGATCTCACGGCAATACTTGATTGTTGCAATTTAGTGTCCCTGGATCAAAGTGATGATCACAGCCTTGATCTGTTGGGGGTGAGGAAAAAAACCCATAAAACACAGAGTCCGATGTGTTCAAATAGACTCAGGCCCGGTGGGAACTCCCTGGTGGCTCCCCTCATGGAGAGCTTTCAGTCCTCTGGTGGAAAGCCTCAGAAATGAGTCTGGGGGCTCTTTGGGGGTCTTTGATGGTTTGTGACACCTTCTAAGACATGACAGCTGCCTCTTGCATCAGCGCAGTTGAGCCAGGAATGCCCCATCAGGAGGGATGAAAACCCTCAGGACCTTTCCCAGGAGGAGCTGTGGGGGCAGTTTTGCAACTGGGTGAGTTGTGTAAGGACAATTGGATGTGCCTCTTATCAGCCTCAAAGATGTTTGGCTTTGGTGATTGTTTGGTGATTGTTCAGCCCCTCTGGCTTATGCAGAGCAGAGGTTTGCCATTACACACCCAAAAACTCACCTCCTCTCCCTCGGGGGGTGCAAAGCACCCAGCCGCCTCCACAAATGGGCCATTGTTTTGAGTCATTAACCATTAACATTTCAGCCTCTGGAAGGGCTGTTTGATTGTAGGACTTGATGGTATTGTCTTCCCACCAGACACAAGTGGTAAACCTTCCCCCCTGGACACTCTTGACACACCATGTCACACCTGAAAGGCATCTTCTTCATGACAACTTCATCTCCTACACGGAGTGGCTTTCCTCGCTTTCCTTTTTTTTTTTTTTGGTTTTTTTTTGTTGTTGTTGTTTTTAGGGTTTTTTGTTGTTTTTTTTTTGTTTTTTTTGTGTGTGTTCCCCCTGATTCACCTGCTGCGCGGAGGGAGGGATTGACAGATCTTGCAGGCAGTGCTCACTCTTCTCCCTGCTTCACCCTGAGTGTCTGGGGGCAGAAGGTGACACAATTGCTTTTGCCAGTCCCAGGGGACATTTCCCCATCTACATGCCTGCTGTGCCTCTCCAAGGGCACCCAAAATCCGGTGCTGCTCATAAGCCCACATGCAGGGCTGAGCTCAGTGCTCTGGCCTTGCCAGAGGTAGAAAGCATCCATCCCTCCATGTGCCCTCTTTGCCTTGACCCATTTCACTCCCTTTCTCTGCTTTACTTCCTGTGACAAATTTGCTGTGCCGGGTCTGTGGAAAGCAGCTGGAACAGTTTTATGCCGGCGCTGTTTTTCTCCTTTATACAGCTCAGCAGGCTTGGATCCATTCAAATCTCCCTTTCTTTTCTTTATTTTTTTTTAATCTTTTCAGTGCAGCTTCCTACAATTTCAGCTTTTTGGCTGACTCGAGGCTTGAAGTCTGTCTTTCCTCTTCCCTGTGCTTTCTCCTGCAGTAACCCCTTATGTGCCATGGCCTTGCTTTCCACAGGCATGTGGAGGTCTGCTATGAACACCAGAGTGGAAAGCTGCTGGCACCCAACAATCTCACAGTGAAAAGCTTTCAGGACACACTGCGTGCTGTGCTGGCTCCATCCTGCAGACAGGTATGGCAGGTAGATGCCCAGCATCTCAGCACACAGGAGGGCTGGCTACAGGCTCAGGCAAGCCCTCAGGGACAGTCAGGAAGCAGAGCCATTCCATGTCACAGCTGCCTCTCCTGACAGCACAGCTGTGCCTGGGGCTTGGACAACCCCGGTTTTGATGGCACAAATGCTAACACATTCCTGGCCATCTCGTGGACTTGCCACAGTCTGATGCAGGAAGGCCAGCAGTCAGCTGCTCTTGCATTTGGCAGATGCCTGTGCAGCTGGAAGCCTGTGGTAGGACACCGGTGGGATGTCCCACCACCAGCCAGCCATGCTGCTGGCAGCTGCAAGCTCAGCTGTTGCTCTACGGTTGGACTAGATGGTCTTTTCAAACCTAAATGATCCTAGGATCAGCAGTGATGTTCACATTATTGGATAACAGTTAAAGCAGGGCAGGATGAGTTCTCAGAGGGGAAGGGGTGCCCTCACTGAGCTTCTATCAACCTCCCTAACCAAGGCCCTGCAACACAAAAGGACATTTTTGTTTTATACTGATTTAAACTGTACTGGTAAGCCAGCCTGAAGCTGAGGTGAGTTCACTCTGCTCTTGCTGGGGAGCATTTGTGTGATGACTCTGTGTGTTTATTTCTGGATGCTGTTCACTGTGTGCACACTAGCATATGATTCTCTTTGTTGCTTGAGGAATAATAATAATAATAACAATAATAATAATAATGGTTATTGTTATATGCTTACAGGTGTGGTGTGATGCTGGCACCCAGTTCCCAACTAGCTGGAGTCAGACATGGAGCTCAGCACACTGTTTCCTAGAACAGATCCCCAAGTAGCACAGGGAACTGTCTCAAGTTTATGCTCCAGATCAGGCAGCTCTTTCGGGTTTTATTTTTATTCAAAAAACGTACGTGCCAAGAATAGGCATATTTGCTGATCTGGAATATTTTCTTGGACATTAAACAAGCCAATGGCAACAGTGCAGGAGTCATCCTTGTCCCATGGGTCAACCTCCTCTCTCTTTTTAACCAAGTTAGGCATTTCCAGCCTCACAGCCCTGCTAGCTCCATGCACCCATCCCAGCGGCAGAGCGCAGGGCAGACTCAGTGCCTGGCAAACCCAGCCTGGTCAAAAGCAAATGACAGAGGAAATACCTTTAAAAAAGGTCACTTTCTCTTAAGAAATGCTCTTTCCTGCCTTTTATCTGTAGTTTAGGGTTTTTTTCATATGATTTCATGGCATTTCATTTGTCCTGCATATTATATAGGAAAACCTTATTTTTTTATTCTGTTTCATTTTAAAACTATTAAAACCATCTGCTACTTAGTAAATACTAACATACTTTCTTTTCTAGATCAAAGTGTCTCCTGTCTGTGTTGTAATGGAAGTTTGACATTATTTTTTTTACAAGACAGGCAGGAGACACTTTGATCAGGTGCCAAACTGTTTCACTACAACAAACAGGCAACACTCTGAGCTAGAAATGATAAGATGTTATTATGCGCTGTGATGATTTCATGACATGTCGGCCATGATGTTAAAAAACCCCACAGAACATATAACTTAAAAAGTATCACTGTGAAATTCCAGCTTTTTTAAAATGAACAACTTATGAACTGAAAGCATTCCTATTATATTCTCTCTCTACACATCTAAGATCATTTTGTAGCGTTTTTTGGCTACTTTTTTGTAATTATTTTAATTTCGATCAGAATCTTCTGTCAAAAACACTTCACTAAAAAAATTCTGATTGATTCAACTTTAAAAACTTTTTTAAAAAAGCCTTTTTATAGACAAAATATTACTGTCCCCATCAGAGAACAAAGGAATCACCTGCTAGATCTTTTGTCATTCCTAAATAAATTAATTGCTTGAGGATTATTTCATCCTTGTTTCTCAAATGCACTGTTCTGACCAGCCCCCCCATACGTGTTTGCCTTTTATCCTGGGATGCAGGATGACTCCAGAGAGCCCATGGCTTTCCAATAACATAAATACTGCAGCTACACACTGTGGAAAAACAAACAAACCCATGCACATTGTAATTTCAGTCTTGATTTGCATTCTGAAGAGGAGCTCTTCCATAGTCACCTATGCCAAGCACATGGACACCACAGACAGTCTGGGTGTGAGTGTGCGGCCCCTGAACACGAGAGCTGCAGGTGGAGCAGGTAAAGCCAACCAGCCTCTATTCCTCTCCCTAAAAGCAGGTTTTCTCCTGCTCTGTCGGCAGAAGCTACCCCAGATTTCCATGTGGACAGTCACAGCTGAGGAAGGATTGATGGTCTCTGATGGACAAGGCAGCTGGAGGAGGTGTCTGCAACCCAGGATAACTGGTAGTAGAAGGGAAGCAGCATGCACAAGGTCTCACCAGTGGGAAAAAATGGTGCTTCTCATCTGCAAGTTGCAAATTATTTCACCATAAATGAGGTGAGAAAGTTCATGGGCCAAGACAAAAGTTGCATCAAAGAGAGGTCTGATTGAGTGCTAGGAAAAAACCCAAACAACTTTGGAAGAGATTCCCTAGGGGGGCTTTTTTGTCCTTGGAGGTTTCTAAAACTCATGTGGACACAGTCCTAAGTGATCTGCCTTCATGCTGAAATTAGCCCTGCTTTCAGTGAGAAGTTGGAGCACATGACCTTCCCAGGTCCCTTAAGGGTTTAGTCACTCTACATCTATGCTACTATGTCCCTGCAATCATGTTATGAATCCCAGGTCAGGAGATAACAAGTCTCAGGGTTGCCCAAGCATGGTCCTGTATCCTTATCCTCAGCAGCAATGGCATTTGCTGTGCTGGTGGTGCAGGTCATCTCCCGTTCCAGGCATGTGCCATCGGAGGCACAGCATCCAACCTTTCTAGGAGAAAGTCATTGGCTTCCCAAATAAATGCATTTCAGGCATGCATTTGAACCAGTCTGGGGTTGAAGGACTCATATCACACCACCAAAGGTCAGGTGGAGATCCAGGGCAGCTCCAGTCTGGGGGCATTTTGGCACAGCGAGTTGTTTGTCCAGCACAACCACATGCTGGTGTGGCGTCAGCACACGGAGCATGTCTGAGCACAGCCCAGGCCGCTGCACACCGGGGTTCTGTGTCAGTATGTGCTGCACAAATAGGCACCAGCACAGGTCACTTCATGTCTGGGTCTGCTTTCATCCCCTGATGCTTCGGGTCATCAGGTGTCACAGCCCGGAAAATTATTTTCCAGCATTTGTGGAACGAAGGCTGCTCAAGAAACAATTAGATCAGCCTCTCATCTTTTGAAAGCAAATTGTGTAGAACCAAAAGCCATAGGATTGTGTACATTTGTCATTTCAACCCAGCAGTAAGTATGTTAATGTGCAGTAAATCATTACTCACAGAATCTCAGAATATGCTGAGCTGGAAGGAACCCCTAAGGATCATGGAGTCCAGCTCCTGGCCCTGCACAGCACCATCCCCAGGTGTCACACCCTGTGTCTGAGAGCATTGTCCAAAAACTTCTTGAGCTCTGCCAGGCTGGAGCTGTGACCACTTCCCTGGGGAGCCTGTTCCAGTGCCCAGCCACCCTCTGGGTGAAGAGCCTTTTCCTAATGCCCAACCTAAACCTGCTCTGACACAACTTCAGCCCATTCCCTCAGTCCTGTCACTGTCACCACAGGGAAGAGATCGGTGCCTGCCCCTCCTCTTCCCCTCACGAGAGGCTTGGAGACTGAAAGGTCTCCCCTCAGCCTCCTCCAGGTGAAGCAGACCAAGTGACTTCAGCTGCTCTTCATATGGCTTCTCCTCCAGGCCCTTAAATGCAGAATCTGGGAGGCGAGAGGTTTGGGTTAGGTGTTGCAAACCAACCAGAAACAATGCTATTATTCTATGATTCCAGTTTTTCAAATAACTCTCCTGAACTTTGCTATGCTCCTCATGAAGTTCTAAAAGGATGATTTGTAGTAGACTGGAGATGGGACCATTACTGCCACTGGTTATTTTTGCTGGAAATGGCTGTTGCTCTTTTTCAGTCTCGTTGATTTAGCCAGCAGTTTCCGGAAAACAGACAAGTCAGTGCTTTCTCTTGACCCTTCAAAACACAGCCTAAGCTTTAGGAATCCCATTGGAGAGGTCTGGATGCACAGACCTGCCCCCACTCTTGGGGCCACTGAGGAAACACCGCTGGCTGTAGGGTGGCCGTGCCCCTGGGCACTGAAGGGCATTAGCCCTGGTGCTTGGGCAGAGCCTGCAAGAGCTCCAGGGAAGCAATCTGCTACAAAGCAGCTGGTGCCAAACACTGCCCAGGTTGTGGAGCTATAATAAAAGCCCTCCAGATTCTTTTGGGGTGAATGAATGAACACCACTGCCTCGGAACTAAACGCTACTTTGAATAGGCTCAGTAGAGCCGTAGCATTCTATAACCCCACTCTGAACACTGTTTCTCCTCACCCACCTTCACAGCTGAAAGAGTGGCCCCTTGCCTTCCCCGTTTTTATAAACAAAGCTGCAACCTTTATTCCTGCCTTGAGGAACAGATTGAATTGCTTTTGATGATCCAGAACAATGTCATCCTTTATTCCATCTTCAAAAGCAATTAGTATTTCAGCTTGATTATTTGCAGATAATATGAGTCACCAGATAAAACACACTGAATACAAAATGCTCCCTGGGAGTGAAAGAGATAAATGGTATTTAAGGTCAAAAATTTATCATATGCTTAAATATCACAAAACTGTCACACATCATAGAAAAAAAAAAAAAAATCAGTCCCTCTTTGTGAGACAGAAAGATGGATCCTGTGTTTGTTTAACCTCAAACCCTTAATTAATTTGTTGACAAGTTTGGTGCATCACAATTTCAGAGTTGTCAAACTATCCAAAATTTCAGGCCAAATATGTCATTTAATCTTAAAAAACAATTTTAGATTTTTTTTCTCTTTTATTTGTTTCCTGATTTCTAGCTTGTTGTATTGCAGCTTGTTGATATTTTCAGCTCTTTTACCCAGAAACCCAAGGCTAGAAGCTGACTCATTCTTAATAGAAGGTACAAGCCTCACAGGAGCAGCATTATTTCAGGAAATCACATTTTAATGGGAACATCAAATCTATCTGGCATTACAATAAGGTCATCAGAAATTAGCAATACTGAAGGTTTATCTTGGGTTTGCTTCTAACACAGATGATAGCTGATATATCCATTCTCTGTACTGATGTTGGCAAGTAGCTTCATTGGCAAACGCTGAAGTATATATAGAGTTTTGTGAAAATTTAGATCAAAAATAAAGTTTGCTTTTCTCTTTTTCTGAAAAGAAAATTAATGTCTGAGAGTTTTCATATACAGCATCATTTCAACCTTTCCCTAGATTGGTTGGTCTTCCAGGAGCTGGAACAGCCACAAACTGCCAGGCTTTGCTGGAAAGATTCTTTTTTCCCCCTGGGATGTACATCACTGTGTAGAGAACTGCTGTGGCCTTCCTCAGAGTGTTTTATATTTACATTAGATTTTTAGCATTGATGCAATAATGTTTTCTTCTCTAAATTACTAATAACTGATACCTGTACTTTCACATCCCCAAAAAGAAACTTTTTTAAATAAAGGGGTGCTTGCCACTGAACCAGTGTAGTGAAACACAAAGAGAATTGTGGCACATACTAATTTTACCTCCAGATTGCCTATGATCATCCATGCTGAGATGAAATTAGAAGATCTATGGAAAGTGAAAGTGTTTCCCCCTAGGCTACAGGGTGCAGAGGCGCAGCACTCTCCTCACCCCATGTGCCTCACCCGTGGCTGGGGGCATAACCCTCATGAGGAGTTCCTGAAGGGCAGGGTGGGTGGGCAGCTGAAAGCTCCTGTATCACCTGTCTTACAGGCCTTCCACCTCCTGATCCAACAGGCTTGGCATGGATGGCCTGGGGGATCTAGGCACATACATGCACCTGCCAAAACCCAGATTGTCCAGGAGCAAGTTAAAACACCGCAGGCTTTGAGGATGCTCCAGTAGAAAAGCAGCCCTAAACCTCCTCACTGACAACTCTTTAAAACAGAAAGGGACCCCTGCTAGACTTAATGCCTTCCCCTGCAAGATTCAACTAAGAACGATATTGTGAAAGGCAGATGGAGAGCCCATGGCTGCAGGCTTCTCACCAAGGCTTTGATAAGCCCTGTGCTCAGGGGCAGACAGGTACAGCACTCCAACCCATCTGCTACACTCAGCTGCATTGCTCTGACCCCCATTCGGTTTTCTCCCATCCCAGGCAAGTATTCAGTTTTCCCTTCTATCAACTGGGGGCCACTTCTCCCTGAAGGCAGGGTAGCTTGCAGTGAGCTGCAAACCAAATGCACTCTTCATGCTCACCTTCACTTTTCATTTCTCTTCAGATCTGGGGTTTTCATCAACTACATCTTTTCTACAAAGAAGCCCTTCTGGCTTGTTTCACTTGTGATTTTGCAAGTCTTTATAATCACTTCTTACAAACGCTTTAAGCAAGACCACCGAAGCACTTTGTAACATCCTTCTGGAGTATTTATAAACAAGGTTGTGGTTTGTGTCAGGGACCAGCCTGACATCACTTAGAGACCAATATTTACCTCTAGGGTCATGGAAATATTTCCAAAGAGCTGCTTCTTGCAGGGGTTCAGTGGCCTGGCGTGCTCAAATGTTTGGACCTCACCTCAGACACCTGATCAGCAAAATCAGCAAAAAAGTCCAACTTCTTTTGGTATGGACACTCCTGTAAATTCATAATGCTTTCATGTCTATGCAAAAGATGCAGTAAGTTATCTCTGGAGCACCTTTAGAGCTCCTTAATATCCTACCTCCCATGGCAGAAAGATTCCACTCTGCAGCAACCATTTCAGTACATTATAAAGCAGGTTTCACCACTCCTCAATGGTGCCAAGTTTCCAGCTTCTCTCCCGCTTTTCAAGGAAGAGGAAATGAGCTCCGACGAGCCTCCTGTGGGGAACAGGTCCTGTCTGAAGCACCTGCAAGCAGGGCCAGCAGGGCAGGAGGGGGACGAAGTGCAAAGCACCGCAGGCTGCAGCCCCAGCGAGCCAGCCCATGGAGGGCACGCTGTTCTGGCAGCGGCCGGTTTCACAGAGATCGGGAGTTTAAGCACAGATCTAATTGAATTGCAGATGTCTTTTCTGATGGCTATCTGCTAGCAAAGCTTCAATTAAAGCAGGAGCAAAGAGGCAGAAGGGGGAGGTTCTCAGTAATAAAACTAATGGAAGGAAGAGTGGCCATTGACAGCAGCCTCCACAGAGAGCATAATCCAGGTGGATTCTTTTAAGATTTTTTTTGTTTTGGGTGGGGGGGAGAGGTCTGAAACCTCAGCACAGATGCCCAGCTTCCAAATCCTAGAGATCCTGAGTGTATGCCGGACTGGAAAGCAGCTAACAGTAATACAATACACAAATAAGCTCATCTCCATTGCTCCCAGTACTCCCTGATGAACAACTTCATCTGCTTTCCATTCTGAAGGCCATTGAGGTTTGTTATTGACTTTGGTTTTAAAGGCTGAAAAGTTTTACTCACTGGCCTTTTGTTACTTCCAAGATTATGGTGGGTTTGCCCTGAGCTTGCACTTGCCAGATGAAGACCTCTTGTCATTTTACAGTGCCTTTAGAGCTCCAAAGTGGGAGAACCTGAACAGAGCTCTCAGTGCACCCAAACAACAAGACTATAAATCAGAGCATTATGACTTTTTTTTTATTTTTTGCCTGTAGCTACTTTCTCACGATGACTTGAACTGCATCCAATGTGTGTTACCACATACACGTCACTGAAAAACCACCCCCACCCAACGCAGATGAAGAATCAAAATTAAGCTTTAAGATGGCCTGAGAATCTGGTTTAGCTGAGGAATAAGGTTTTTGAGAACTGTTTTCCCTTTCCTCAGCCAATTGTTACGCTGTACCCAAATTCCTGTTGTGCAACAGTTTGGAGGCCTCTTGGCCATGTCCTACCCAAACTCTATTGCTTGTTGGCGCAGCACAACTCTCCTGGGGGCATCTCAATGGACAATCACCCCCTGGGATTCAGTTTCAAGGAAAATAATCAGAGTTTGCTCGTTTTCCCTTTTGAACTGCTGCCCTTTTCCGATGTATTTACAATGTAAGGAAGTCAGTTTTTTCATGGTTTGGCTTTTAACTTTGTTGTTGAGCTTGGCTTTGCTCCTGTTGGAAATTGGACCCCAGTTGAGGAGGGCAGTTGCCAGTGTCTGCTGGAAACTCCTTGCCTGGGATTTTCAAGCAGGCCGTTTGTTGACCTAGCTCAGCACATACTAAACAAGTGCAGTCAGAAGAGTCTGCATACTCATTGCAGGAAAAGGACTGGCCCAGTGGCAGGAGTTTTTCAGAATTTCACCAAACATTTCAAATGCCCAAGTTCACTCCAGACTTCTCAGAAGGTCCCTCCAGCAACCATCCTGCAATTAATTTCATGCATCTGAAGTAACACTGAACAGCAAAGGTTGGAATTGGGCTGAGTTCCTTGAATTTCTGACTTCTTTCAGGTTTACTCCAGCAGAAAACTCACCAGGAAGTTAAAAAACATATTCCTAAAGAGAGAGGAAAAAAGTGAGAAATAATGCATCATCTGTAAGATGTGACCTGTTACTAACATGCTCAGGATGCTTAATGAGAGGTTTTGCAAATGGCACACATTAAACAAACAAGTATGCCCTCAGCCAGCAAGCTGCTATTTCTCCCTGCAAGGAATAAATAATAATTAAAATTCTTTGTATTGAGACTTGTAGCTACAAAAAAAATCATGGGTGGTAATTCCTAAATACACTTGTGGGGTTCTTTCTGCAGCTGATCCACAGGAAGCTGCCTCCCAGGCATTGATTTATTCCATGAGAATGAGGGAGAGGCATCTCTAAAGCACTGCATTTACTCCCCTGCTGCTGAGAGGTTTTATTTGGGTGCTCTCTGGACAGTTTCCAGGCATGTTATTGAAGAGTATTTCTCTCTCTTTCCTCAGCAGTCACTTGCTCACTCCCCCCCACTGGGACAGGAGAGAGACTCAGAGAAGTTAGAAGACTTACGGGTTGATAACAAGACAGTTTAACAGGTAAAGCAAAAGCCGTGCACAGAAGCAAAGCACAACAGGGAATCCATTCATCACTTCCCATGGGCAGGCAGGTGCTCAGCCATCCCTTCAAAGGAAGGGCTCCATCACACGTAATGGTGACTTGGGAAGATGGACTCCATAATTCCGAACATGCCTTCCTTCTCCTTCCCCCAGCTTTATGTGCTGAGTATGATACCATGTAGTCCAGGATATCCCTCTGGGGTCAGCTGTCCAGGCTGTGTCCCCTCCCAGCTCCTTGCACATTCCCAGCCACTCTCTGGTGGGGTGAGAGGCAGAAAGGGCCCTGACTCTGTGTCAGTTCTGCTCAGCTGTAATAAACACATCCCTGTGTTACCAACAGTTTTCTGCACAAAACCAAATTACAGCCCCACACCAGCTCCTATGACCAATCCTAGCTCTATCCCAGCCCAAACCAGTGTATTCTCCATTCCTGATTCCATATTATTTACATCATGCTCAGGTCCCACATACAATCCAGTACATCCTCATTACCACTGTCACCATCCTCTGATACCAGGTCAGGTCAGGTCAGGTCAGGTCACTGCTGCACTTGCACTGCTTCCTCTAAGGCTCCTCCACTGGTTTGGGTGATTCCTGCTGTTGTAATTCCTACAATACACAGCTCAAATTCCACATTACAACAGCGTCGAGATGTTTCCATTACAAGCTCCACCTCTGGTTCATTCAGAGCAGATCATGGGGTATAAAACTGCAGTTAACTCTTCTGCTTTCCCTGCTCTGGCTTGGACTTTTCCACAGACCACAGTCCCTTAGGAGTGTACCTGCTCCAAGTGAAGCCTACGAACCACAGACTCTTTGGGGGTCTGCATGCTGGGGCATGGACTTACCCACAGCCACAGCTGCTTTGATGTAGACCAGTTTCAGCATGGTCTTTTCCATGGGCCACAACGCTTTCAGAGATGTTCCTGCTCCAGCATGGCCTCACCTACAGCAAGTCCCTTTGCAAGTAAATCTGCTTCAGCATGGCCTTACCCATGACTGCAGTCCCTCCAGGGGTCTATTTGCTCTCTCCTGGGCTTATCACAGCCACACACTTTGGGGTACTCCTGCAAGACCTCAAGCACAGCCCCTGATGTTTTAAGGTGTGCCTTCTCCAGCACGGACTTACCCTTGGGCCACAATCCCTTCCGAGGTCCAGCTGCTGCGGCACAGACATAACCGCAGCCACAGATGCTGCAAGATGTACCTGCTCTGGCATGGCCTTATCCAGGACCACAGATGCCTCAGGGTGCCCAGCTCCCACATGGGCTCACCCACAGATCACAGGCCCTTCCACTCGAGTTCACACTGGAGCTCCAGCCTGTCCAGAACAGCAGCAGCAGCTCTGGCCATCTGCCAGCCCGACACATTGCCACTGCCGTTATCGAAATGTTCCCAGGCACCGCAGAGTAAGGTGATAAGCAGCACAGCAGTTCAGTGAGCAGCCACTAATGAGCACTAGACTCAGGCAAGCAAGCCCTATGGCAAACAGGAGCCTGTCAATTAACAGCAAAAAAGCAATAATAGCTATAAAATCGATCCAGCACATTCCAACAACATCTGGTGGTACTTTGAGCCCCGAAGCAGGTGACAAAAAGGACTGTTGTGGCTTAAGGAGGCAGCTGCTAAATACCACAACAGCCACTTGCTCTTATTTCTCTTACCTTCCACAACAGTCACTCCTCCACAGTGGGATAGGGGAGAGAATCAGAAAAGTGAGAAATTTCCTGCGTTGAGATAAAAACAGTTTAACGGAGAAACAAAACAAGGAATCCCTTCACCATTCCCCATGGGCAGGCAGGTGTTCAGCCATCTCCAGGAAAGCAGGGCTCCTCCACATGTAACAGCGATTTGGGAAAACAAACACCATCATTCCGAACTTCCTCCCCTTCTTCCCCCAGCTCTATATGCTGAGCACAACACGTATATTGTAGGATACCCCTGTGGTCAGTGGGGGTCAGCTGTCCAGGCTGTGTCCCCTCCCAGCCCCTTGTGCACCCCCAGCCCTCTCTCTGGTGGGGTGAGAGGCAGAAAAGGTCCTGGCTCAGTGTCAGCCCTGCTCAGCTGTAACAAAAACATCTCTGTGTTATCAACACTGTTTTGGTCACAAATCCAAAACACAGCCCCATACCACCTACTCTGGGGAAAATCAGCTCTACCCCAGCTACAGCCAGCGCTCTCAAGCATTTATAGAGACCCCAGAATGTGAATCATCTAGACTTGCCTCAGAATTGTTTGCCAAAATAGTATTGGTTTAAAAAAAAAAGGCCATAAGAAGAAAAAATACCTGGTCTCTGACAATGTGTTTTGATCAGTTTATCATATTGCATTTATATTTAAAAATAAAGCCAGTGTGCAGCTAATTGACAACAAGAAATTAAACGACAGACAGCTTGAATACAGCCTGAAGAGTTACTGGAGATACGCTGCGAATAAAAATCTTGACATAAAAAGATACATTTAATATGACTCTCAGCGCATTTGTAAAAAGAAAAAAATTTGGTGGAAAAAGACAATGCTCTTGACCACTGATAACATTTGATTTAAAGTTCTCTGAAAAATTGTTTCTTCTAGTACAAAAGCAAAAATCAAAACAATTAATTCCAGAAGTATTACAACATAACGGACAAACATCTACTCTTTGTCTGGATTTCAAGCACAATTTTAGTCAATTTGAATCCATTTCATGTAGAGGCTGCAGCTTTGACAGAGCTATTGCTAAAATCATCTCAGCAACAAAACATTGCTCATTTTAGCAATAAATATGCAGCCCCAAGAACCAGCTCCAGTTTAGAACTACTCAGTATATAAATGATTAGATTTGCCACTGTTTAGTACAGTGTACCAAAATTATTAATGTATTACCTAACCAAAATCCTGAAGCCTTCCAAATCCTTTATTAAAAAACAATTTTAAAAAAACCAAACTTGAATTTAGAATATGTTGACGCAGTTCTTCAAAGAAATAAGCCCAGAAGTCAATTTCATTTTTAAACAAAAAAAACCAACCAAAAAGTCTTCACAAATTTTGGTAACTGAAGCGAGTGAAAAAGCTGAGCTATCTAAGTATATAAAAAAGTCAATTTTCACAATATTATGGCCTGGAAGCTCTAAGAGGCAGTCAGAATATAAAGGCAACTGGAGACAATTAAGCCCTTTAAAAAGCACCAAAATTAGCATTCCTTTTGTCAGATCCAAATAATTCAAGTGTTGTTCTGCCACAAAGGCCATCAACAATTTCTAATTTTAGCTTAATCCATTAAAAAGAAAAACCCTGCATCTCTCTCTGATATTTCCTCATTAAGAACGCTCCTGAACTGTACACTGAAATCTCAAGAACACAAACTATGAATTCAAGTTCACACTCCCATGAAGACACACTCACACAAGCACTTTAATATGGGAATCCCAATAAAGGCAACTATACTTGCGATTCAGCTAAGCAGTGTCTGAACTGCTACATGGTCAGCATCTACCAAAAGCGAAACTTCAGCTATGAATGACACAAGAATGACCTGTCCTACCTTTGAACCCTCAGCTTTCTAGTTTCCTCTGCTACACTTGATTAGTCTCAGTAACAAGAAGCTCCAGAAAAATAATATCTCCTGATTTTCATTACATGGAGGAAGCAGTCACATGACCCTAGAAAAAACTCTTTGTGATTAACCCTCACATTTTAAGTCAAATTAATTTCTTGTATTCACATTTTAAGTCACCACTGTAAAACTGCAAATTTCTTTGCTCCCCTGGTTGCAGTGTATCAGTCACACCTTCACTACTCATTCACCTAGAAACTCTTAAGCTTCAAATCATTTTTAATCGGTATTACTAAAGAAGCACTTTTTCCAAACTTACACACGCAAAAGTGGAAATTATTCTCAACAGTTTCCAGAAGGCAAAATTAATACTGTAATACAGGCTGACCTGGTGGGATAGCTGCAGTGCTTACTGCCTTTGTCACCCTGAGTTAAGGGTGGGAACTGTACCAGCATGGGACGAGCAGTGCACAGGCAAGGGCAGAGTTTGCCACTAGGAAACAACTTATATATTCATATAAAACAGATATCTGTGGCCCTACAGTCCTAACCATATAGGACTGGACCAAACCCAGCATTTCGCTTAGGCTCCCTACTACATCCTCCTCCGTTTAACTTTAGTATCTGCCTGTTTTTAAAGAGCTGTGGAAAGCAGGAGCTGCATTTTTAGCTGAAACTTAAGTTTTACAGCCAACAGGCAGCATCTTGCACCAAGACTTGGGCTTCCTGACCTCACCACCCATGTAAAACTGCACTGCAACATCCTAAAAGTGTCTGCGGTTAACACCAGTACCATATACAAACAGTGATTTATCAATATTGTATGCTTTATTGAAAGTTGACAAGTGCAACAGTTAAATACATTGACGTGTTACAACTGTAGAGAACATGCACAAAAACATATGCATACTACTATACAGATCATATGCAAAAAATCCATACTGGGAAATTCAATTTATTTTTTTTCTTTGATTCATTGCTAGCAGGTCTTGATAATTTTTGGAGTGGTTTTTCCCATCTTGAACCAAACTACAATGAACAATGATTTACTTCAAGATAATCAGCAGCCAGGGAACTTCAGAAGTTACACAAACAGCATTAATTTGCCAAATTCTGAACAGTTGCGTAGGTGCATTCTTATTTTTGTAGCATAAAAAAAAACTTCTCAAACTTCTTCAGATCAGCCAATGAAACAACTAGACTTCAATCTGTACAACCTAAATAGTTACAGTTTTCTATTTTACAAAGTAATTACACTAAATACACAAATATACAGTAGGCAAATAACCTTCATTGTAATTATCCTATGAACCAACAACTGTATTGTCACCTACCTGTTTTCTATATATAATACAGCTTTATGCACCTGTCCACTGCTTCAGAAAACGGTGCAAATATTTGCACTTAAGGTTTCAGGTGACAATTAAGTGTTAAACACTGAGATTACCTTTCTCCCTCTTCCTCTTAGATCCTATGCACCAGTCCACACTTTGGAACCCCAATGCACTACAGGGGGTTGAGCCATCACTTCTTACTCCAGTCTATTTCTTCACGTTTCCAAGCTTGAAAAGCACTTGTATCAGCTGTAGCACTGGATGAGTGGAAGATTTAAAAACAAACCCAAAAAAAAATCAGGCATGCAGCTTCGTTTCTCAGCCATTTGCAGAAGCTGCTCGAGTTCCCAGTGTACTTGTGCTAATTTTCTGGAAGAAGTTTATTTTATTCAACCAACCTAAGAACAGAGACTCCTTCAAGCCAAAAGGGTAAGGGAGGCAAGAGAGAGACAGATGAGTGTGTAATACAAGGGGGAGAAGCCTCTCCTGATGTGTGCAAGGCATGGAGTCCTCAGTCTGGGTTGCAATGTGCATTGAAATGGATGAAGGGCGGCTGTGGCGGATTCCCGCTAGTCCTCCTTGCTCTGGGCAGTTCAGAAGCCAGCCATCATGACGGCGATGACATCTTGAGCTATGCTGAAGGCCCTGAGCCCTGTGATGCCGGCTGAGCAGGCTGCTGTGTTGTTGTCCCTTGTGACTGGGAAGAGGAAGGCGGAGAACCAGTCTGCAGCTGTGCTTGGAACTGGGCAAGCTGCTCTGGGCTGGCAAGTGTTTTTAGCAGAGTGTTTTCTTGCTCCAGCTGCGAGTTCTTCTCTATCAGTTCTTTGATTTGCTCTTTGAGGACCTCCACTTCCTCCCTTACTGCGTACATCAAGTGACTCTTTACCAGATCCTGAAACACAGAAGAGAGTGCGGGCGTTAGGCTGCCAGCCTGCCCGGCCGAGGACGCAGCAGACCCTGCTGTGCGGAGGGCCGGTGTGACCGCTGTCCCCGGGCAGCGCTGTCCCCGGGCCGGGCCTGGCT